AAGTCTGTTAAAATAAAACAACAGAACAAAACAAACCCCAAAGCACAAAAAGCCTAGAAAGTTTGCCTAAGAACTGCTCCTGGGGGGGTGTTCCAGTTGCCAGGCACTATGCTTAGAACAGGAAGAGAGGAAGGTTTTAGGCTGCTTAGATCCTCAGTGCTGTGAAGGAGCTGACAGAAATCCAGCCAAGAAGGAGGAAAGTGAAATGGGAACTCTGGAGATCAAGGTCAGCCACAACACACAGTTCATGATCCCAGAGGTTAATGAATCAAGGACCAGGAAGGACAACACTCAAGGAAATACTAAATCAGGTGTCTGAAAGTTTTGAAGGAGGGACTGGAGAAGTACAGATGTGACTACTGTGACAACTGTTTGATAACCCAGCCTCTGAGCTCTCCACTAACAAAATGTCTGAGCAGCCACCTCCCCTGAGGGTTCAGGACTCAACTCCTCCAGTGCCACATCCCCTATTCCAGCTACACGATCTGAGTTGACACAGACAACACTGCTCAGCAGCAGCCTGAAGGCCCTGTTTTAGTTGGCCTTTTCACAGAATCACAGAATCTTAGGGGTTGGAAGGGACCTGGAAAGCTCACCCAGCCCAACCCCCCTGCCAGAGCAGGGGCACCCAGAGCACATCACACAGGAACGTGTCCAGGGGGGTTTGAATGTCTCCAGGGATGGAGACTCCACAAAACATCTCTGCACAGAACATCTATCCATCAAATTAACCACCTCTTCTTAGGTCTGTGTTTTCATTAACACCCTCTGCACTGTATTTTAATTCCTCTTTTTAGCATCAGTCAATTACAGCACTCAAGTACAGCATCAGCAAAAGCACTGTACCTTATTGAATGAGTCAAATTCCAAGTATGGACATTTTGAATGTTGAGAAAACAAGAAAGGATGAAATTCCTCATATCTGTAAAATACACATTTGATATTATCACCTGACAACTAATTAATGTTAAGCAGACTAGTAGAAAAAGAAAGGAATACTTCAAATACTTACGTGTAGATATCTTCTGCTGGTTTATCTGGTTCCAGACTTGGCTTCTTCTCCCTTTTCTGGATAATATAACCCTAAAAGAACACTGATGTCATGAGCATTTGGCTTTGAAAAGGACTGCATTTATCTCTGAGTGCTAACCAAGCTTGAGAAAAGAACTCATTCTAGCAGGGAGACCTTGTGGAAGAAGCAATGAGACTGAGTACAGCCCTGACCACTTCCTTGTCTCTACTCCAACCAGATTAAAAAGGTGAACTTCTCTTAGTCCTCAGGACTATCCCCCAGCTTAGCACACGAATCACCTGCTAGTCAAGCACAAGTGAAGTTCCCACAGGACCTAAATGATCTGCTTGTACATTATTTTACTGCAGCACATCCCAGTGCAAGGAAGCAATTTTTATTCCCCATCACCACCTGCAGCCCAAGCTGACAGAATAAAAACTGTAGCTGTGAACAGCAGGAAAAAGCAGGTGCTGGACAATCCCAGTTTAGTTCTGCAGTTCCCACCTAACCCAGCTGAGACCCACCTTCCCACTGAAGTTGTCAGTTAGTGTCATATATTCTTCTGCTTTCTCTAAAGCCATAAGCACTTTTTCAACATTTTCTAAAGAGAGAGGGGGAAGGAGAGGAACATTTTAAAAGAAGGGTATTTTCACAACAACACAGCACAACAGCAAATCAGCAACAGGCCCAGACAACTGCTCTTCCACTTAAGAGCTTGACATAACCTGTCCAAGCTAATCATGTTAAAGAGGATTCTAACATGCCTCAAAAATAAAATCACAGATATCCTTAACTCTGGTGCTTCACTACAGCAATCACTGCTCATTTTAAACAGGTGCCTTAGTACACATTCTACATTTGGGGAATTTTTAATGAAAAAAATCTATATAGGCACTTCTAAGACAGAGTGATCCAAGTTTCAGGAAAAAAAAAAAAGACCATAAAAATGCTAGAAATCTATAAACCTAAAACTGCAGAGGCAAAGCAGAAACCAGTAGCTATGGGAAGTTATTTGTTTGTTACAAAGTTGATATATTACAGCACCAGAATGCAGTAGGAAGTAAAAAATCCTATTGATTTATGGCAAATAGCACACAGGAAAAAATAAGACTACAGAAAAATCTATTCTGACTTTACTACCCAGATCCATGATTTCCTACATGTAAAGCTGTTGCTTTACCAAATCCCCACTGTGTTTGCTACAGAGAAAGGAAGACTCTGATGCTAACCCTTCTCTACAGAACCCTTGTACAACACCCCTTTGCACAGCCAGAGCTCACCAGAGGTGTAAGGTGGCATCTCCTTATAAAACCACCCAGCCTGCAGGAGGAGTGTGATGGTTTATTGCCAATATATGCACAAATCAAGAGTTTTAATGGGAACAAGGTTCGTCCCCAACCTAAAAACATTAAAACATGTAACTATATGGTGACAACTACAGGTTTGAAGATTAGTCTTCTCCTTGGAAAGAAAAATACTACATAAAAATTCCTGTCTGTGCAGTACAGCTTTTAAAACATCACTCCCTACATACCTTTACTTTCCATCTGCTGATCTACTTTGACAGAACCAGAAAATCCAGCTTCTATAAGGCAATGCTCAATGAGAGTGGCTCCATAAGCTGTTAAAAAAAAAAAAAATAGTCATCTGTATAAAGTCTTGACAACGAATGTGAAGTTCAGAACTTCAGCACCATCTCCACATAATGTGTTGACCTCATTTCATCTCCTAATGGAACAGAATTACTTACGAAGATGTGGGTTAAGCGCCCTCTTCAGTTGTTCCCCTTTTGGTGCATTTGCTATCATTTCAGTTAACCTGTGAGAGATAAAGAGTTCCAAAGAACAATGGGGTTTAAGACTACACTGCATTGGTTAGAAGCTACCAAACATTTTCAGCTTTAAAAAACAGAAGTGCCAAATGTTCTGTAATAAGTGAACAGATTGCCCAAAGGTGCCTTTCACAGCTCCAAGGAATTTGGGCTTATTTGAGGGAAGTCAAACAAGCCAGCAGGTCGAGGTTCTCCTCCCCCTCTGCTGTCCTTAGTGAGACCAGTATTGTGTCCAGGTCTGGTTCAAGAGGGACAGAGACAGACTAGAGTCCAATGAAGGCTACAGGGATGAAGGGACTGGGCCACCTGTGTGATGAGGAAAGGCTGAGAGACCTGGAGCTGTTCAGTCAGGAGAGGATAAGTCTGAGAGGGGAACTTATGAATGTCTGTAAATACGTGAAGGGTGGGTGTCAAGAAGGAGGGGTCAGTCTCTGTTCAGTCATGCCCTGTGACAGGAGGAGGGGCAACAGATGCAAACTAGAGCAAAGAAAATTCCATCTCTACACAAGGAAGAACTTCTTTGCTGTGAGGGTGACAGAGCCCTGGGGCAGGCTGCCCAGAGAGGCTGTGGAGTCTCCTTTGCTGGAGACTTCCCAAGACCCATCTGGACACGTTCCTGTGTGACCTGCCCTGGGTGACCCTGCTCTGGCAGGGGGGTTGGACTCAATGACCTGCAGAGGTTCCCCCCAACCCTGACTATTCAATGTCTCTACGATTCCAACCCACCACCTATAAGCAACTACCTTTCCAAGGTGGGCAGGGGTGCAGGTGCTTTGGCGCTGTCGACCGGGTACCGCTCCCGCACCGCGAACCGCACGTCGTCCGCTCCGTCCGTGCGGAACCTCAGGATGTTCAGGATGATGTACTCGTGGTCCGTCAGCACGATGTTCCCCTGCAGAACACCACGGGCTCCAGCACCAGAGGCCACGCTCCCCTGCTGCCCGCAGGGGACCCCTCTGGAGCTGTGCCCTCACCCTGTCGTACAGCTCGATGACCAGGTGATACGCAGCCTCGTCGCTCCCAAACTGGAAGTCCACGATCCTGTCTATCCCCAGCTGGGTCACACTGACCAGTCTTCGGGTCTTCAGGTGCTTACGGCACTGCCAGGAATGGAGAAAACATCTGCCAGATGATGCAAACAGATCTGCTGCTGACACCTGGTACTGAAATACACCCTTAGCTGTACGTCCTGCCCCTGGCACTGACCACCTCTTATTTACTATGAACATTGTAAGGGTAAAAATGCTGCCTTGGTGATGCAGAATCACAGAATGGTGGGGGTTGGAAGGGACCTCTGGAGATCATCTAGTCCAACCCCCTTGCTACAGCAGGTTCTCCTAGAGCAGTGAGTTTGGAATGTCTCCAGGGATGGAGACTCCACAACTTCCCTGGGCAGCCTGTCCCAGGGCTCTGTCACCCTCAGGGTAAAGGGGGTACCAGTTTGTGCCCATTGACCTGTGTCCTGTCCCAAGACACCCCTGAGAAGAGTCTGGCCCCATCCTCCTGATACCCCCTTTAGATATTGATCAGCACTGATCAGATCCCCCCTCAGCCTCCTTTTCTCCAGCTGAACAGCCCCAGCTCTCCCAGCCTTTCCTCACAGGCAGATGCTCCAGTCCCTTCAGCATCTCAGTGCCCCGTGCTGGACTCTCTCCAGTTCCTTGTCCTTCTGGAACTGGGGAGCCCAGAACTGCAGACAGGGCTCCAGGTGAGGCCTCCCTAGGACAGACTTGAGAGGCAGGAGAACCTCCTTGACTTGCTGGCCTCACTCGTGATGCCCCCTAGGATGGCACTGGCCTCTTGGCTGTGAGGGCACATGGCTGGCTCATGCTCAGCCTGTTGCCCACCAGGACTCCCAGGTCTTTTTCCCCAGAGCTGCTTTCCAGCAGGTCACCCCCTAACCTGTACTGGTACAAGACTGCTCTTAGCAAAATAATACCTTGATATTTATAGGTACTACAAACTGTTTCAAATTCTTAATATCAAGCCATTCTTGCCATTAAAAACTGATTTTTGTTTGGCTCAACAAGCGAGCAGCTACCTAGAATTCAAAGGGCTTATTCTACACAGAGAACTGTGTCTGACATGGAATGCCTTCCTGAAGAATCTCTGCTGAGTCATTTCAGTGAAACCACATCCAGAGGTGGTGGGCTAAGCAGACCACCCTGCAGATCTACCTGCAGGAACAGAGCCCAACAGCAAGATCTGAACCCTCCAAGTCCAGCAGACTGAACAGCAGAACTCTATTATCACAGGGTGCTGCATCCAGGGCCTAAAAATTCAGACAACCCAGCTGGAATGACAGTTGCTGGAGTAAAATTCCAAAAAGTGTGGGTGGCCCAGAAAATGTCCAGCAGATCCATATTAGACATCATCATAAAGTTAAACTTTCATTATTTTGGGCACTGAACATTAACAACGTGACCCCAGATCCAACATGTGTACTTCCCTAGTCTTCAGTCACCTTCTTGATCAGCATCCACCAGGACAATCCTTCCACTATTTTCAACTGTCCCAAACCCTACCACTATTTTCTCCTGTCCCAAACACTTCCACTATTCTCTCCTGTCCCAAACACTACCACTATTTTCTCCTGTCCCAAACCCTTCCACTATCTTCTCCTGTCCCAAACCCTTCCACTATCTTCTCCTGTCTCAAACCCTTCCACTATCTCCTTCTGCCTCCACGGGAAGAACATGAATGTTGCCCTCTTACTAAAATGAAGCCACAGGGTGGTTTACCTTCATAGCAAAGCTTGATGGCATCATGTTTTTGGGCCACTCGAACTCGGTGGTGTGGATGCGGATGCCGGACTCGAGCAGCAGCGTGGCCTTGCAGTCTGGTCTGTTGACACAACAAAGACACTTGGCACAGGAGCAGCCACCCCCCTCAGCACACACCAGTTTGCACTGGAATCAGAGCAAAGCAGCCACGGCCCAGCAGCAGACCACCTGGCAGTGAAAGGACACCCACTTGTTATGTTTACAGAGAATCACTCGGCAAGGAACGGAGTCAGAAATGCCCCAGCACCAGTGGAGGGGAGTGGATGAGGAAGGGTCCACACCAGGCACCCCTGGGGTGACAGATCAGGGACAGGACATGAGCCCTACCTCTCATCTGGGCACCAGTATCACTTATTAAACACTGCTCTTCACTCCTCCAGCTGCCCTCTCCCTACCCCACAAACAGCTCTGTGCTCTCACACCAACACCTTTGGCTTTCTGAGCACTTTCACACTCCCCATGCTAACTCCTGGTGCCTTATCAAATAATTCCACCAAAAACCAGCCAGAAAAAGCCACACACCTCTCAACAGAAACACACACACCACAAACCAGTTCTCACGTGCACAGGAGCAGCACAAAGAGATGCAAAGCAGTTCTTACTTCTGGAGGCGGATAAGGTACGTCTTATTATCCACGTCGTAAACGTTGTTCACCCTCATTCCCAATAAGCTGCCAAAAGGAAAACACACACTTTGCAGAACACGACACACAAACCACACGGGGGGGGGCTGCACAAAAAGCCCAAGCCTTCATTAACACACACAGAAGTGCAAGGTATGATATAAACTACCGAGCGGGAAGTGAAAAGGCAGCACGGGAAGATGAATGGAACGAGCTGGAAGCTGAACAACCAGAAGATGGAGAAATTGCTGTTAAAATGTACCAGCTACACAAGCTGGAGGAAGCACGGCCAGGGCAGACTCCCCAGGCTGCTGGCTCCTGCGGGTGCTCCTCCTCCAGCAGGGACATGACAGGTCCTGGGGCACTTTGCTCCTCCAAGCCACCTCCTCTGCCACCCGGGCAGCCCCGGGCCCGCAGGGAGCACGCAGAAATGGCACGGGGGGAGGTGGGTCCCAAGCCTTCATTAAGATACACAGAAGTGCAAGGTATGATATAAACTACCGAGCGGGAAGTGAAAAGGCAGCACGGGAAGATGAATGGAACGGGCTGGAAGCTGAACAACCAGAAGATGGAGAAATTGCTGTTAAAATGTACCAGCTGGAGGAAGCACGGCCAGGGCAGACTCCCCAGGCTGCTGGATCCTGCGGGTGCTCCTCCTCCAGCAGGGACATGACAGGTCCTGGGGCACTTTGCTCCTCCAAGCCACCTCCTCTGCCACCCGGGCAGCCCCGGGCCCGCAGGGAGCACGCAGAAATGGCACGGGGGGAGGTGGGTCTTGGCACTGTTCTGCTCGGCGTGGGGCTGAACGTGCAGACTGGATACCCAGGAGAGCATGAGAAGCCGACAGGGCACGGATGTGAGATTTCCCAGCGGGATGGGAGAGTGTGACAGCAGCCAGGAGGGCCGCTCAGCTGCTCCCTGGGGACAGGAGCGGGACAATGAGGGGGCGAACAAGCGCATCAGGGCCTTCCCTGAGGGTGTGACGGGGCGGAGAGGGGACAAGGGGGCAGGGAGATGTGCTGGGGGAGATGGGACAGTGTCCCGGGCAGGACACACCGGGGGACAGACGGGGCAGGACACACCGGGAAGCGGCAGAGCCGGGGGAAGGTGCGCGGGGCCCTGGCAGCTCAGAGCCGCCCCGCACAGCCCCGCTGGGGCAGCCGGGCCGGGCCCCGCCGCAACGGGCAGCGCGGGAAACGGGAATGCGGGGCCCGGGAC